AAAAAAAAAAAAAAAAAAAAAAAAAAAAAAAAAAAAAAAAAAAAAAAAAGAAGAAGGAGAGGTGTTTATGTCCATAGTCCACTTGACTGAGAATGAGTTTCACATTGTATCAATGGAGCATCATCCTCAGCAGACACACTCCACTCCAAATTTACTGTGAGGTAACCTATACACCAGACTGGGAATGCTCCCAAACATACAACCTGAAGCACAGCTGTTGCGCTCTACTCCAAGGTACATTGGTTCCACACCGGCAGAATGCACTGAGTTACTTCTAGGAGCCTCAGGTGTTGGTCAAAAGCAAAGCTTCCCACTTTTCTCTGAGATCTTTCAAACTACATGAGGATTTGCAAATTATGGGAACTGTCATCATGATAGGTGACTTGGGAGAATGAGGACCTTTTAAGGCCACTCCACTGAATTGTGGTGGCTCTTAAACTAAATCAAAACTGTGGCAGAGGTTAGGTGGGATGTTAGCACCTAAATGATGGTAGGTACAAGGAGTATCTGCGTTGGCTGTGTATCTACACAACAGTTTGCAAGACCAGAGAGGCCTAAGAAGTGCAAGCATGAATAAGGGTTTGGAGAGACAGAAGATGAATCAACAAAACCTTCACCTGAGAGTCAGGATTTTGGCACTCAAGTTTCCCTGTAGGCAGAATAATGGATGACTGGACATGAGCAGGAAAACCCCTTGCTTTCCCCTTGCACCCTGACTGCTAAGTTTTCAGTCATACACGGCAATCCTGAATTACATACTGTTCCCCAATAGTGTTGCTGAGAAAATAGTAAGTGTATTTCATGTCATGTTTGTATTCCTGTCTTCTTGGATTACGATATTAATTGGAATAAAGGAAGAAGGGGAAAAGTAAACAAGTCAACACCGGACACAATTCAACAGTACCTTACCCCAGAAAGGGCAGAACAATCAAAAGGATCCAGCAGTTTACAAAATATTCCCCACCCCAGCTAGATGTTTTCTTTCAAAGAGTTCTAGTCCAGAAGAGTTTTAGTAAGAGGCAGCAGTTGTGATTATCCAAGGACATTTTAAAGGTCACCAGGATGTTAAGACACAAGCAGCTGTGCTTGTGTAGCTGTCTGTCATTCCTCTGGGCCGCAGCACAGAGAATGGAGCTCAGCCAATTGTGAGAGATCCTATGAATACAAAGTGTGTTTGTGCAAATCACTGAGGGTCACCTCAGCTGAGCAGAGAAAAGGAAGTCTTTCTGGGTAATTACACAAAAGCAGTACTTACCTTTGACCCACACAGTTCAGAGCATACTAAGTGGTACTAACAATCACGTGGGCTGTTATTAACCCATAGCTGTATACAACAGGCAGCCACTGATCTCTGTATGATTTTTAGCAAGAGCCTCTGAACAGTCACATTTCATGGCTAAGGCCTAGACAAACTCCCCTGTCTACCCTTCAGCCTTACAGAAAGCCACATCTTTTTCTTCATTCACCCTAAATTCTCCTCTACTTGTCTTCAAATCCTTCAACTACATCCACCTAATAGATAAGCTTTGCCAACTCTTTATATTGTTAAGGTTGTACCTCAAAATAAATAGGTATTTTTAAACCTACTGTGAGGAAAGCCACAGAGAAACAAAGATATAAAATAAAAATCAAATAAACCATATCTAAATGTGCAATGGCATATCCCTAGCCTGCTCCAGCACGGTTGTAGCAGGACAGTTGGACAAGACACATTCATTCTCTAGAATCTAAGGGCATGTCACTAAAAAACAAAACTCAACAGCGGAAAAAAAATTAGTTTTCCCATGCATTACAACAAGTCTCTGTCATCTTCCTGTGAGAGTTTATAATTTTCACAAAACACAAAAATAAATAAAATGAATGGATTAACCCATGATTTTCTTTCAAAATATTCTAAAAGAACTAAAATGCCTTAATATACAATAATGAGAGCACTACATAGTTTTACTTTTAATTCAGGTCAAGTTTAGTTAGGTCTCTAGGAGTGGATTCAAACACAGTCAAAATAAAAGCTCAATACTAAAAATTACAGCGAAATTCCTTAACATTCCAATTTGGGCCTTTATAAAGAATTCACAAACCATTAGCTTTGCAAACCACAGCCTACAAATGTAGGGAAGTAGAAGTCATAAATGAATATGTTGCCTGGAAGAGAGTTAATTGCTTCAAAAAAAAAAGAAAACTCATAATAAACCTACAAAATGCTTAACAGATTTCCTTTTCCCTCCCACCTCCTAAAATGAGACAATGTCATTACTGTCTTACGGCATCTAACTTTACTTGCTTTTATTCTGTTCTCCTTCAAAGTTATTTAGATTTTTCTTCTCTGCTATTCTAATTACTCATTCTACTCAGCTAGTTTCTCTGTTGTCCCTGTTCCTTTCTCAAAATCCTCAGCAGCTGGAGTTATTACACTTTCATTTATGCTGTCTCATCTATTCAGATTTGCCTACAGCT